ATACCTACTGTCATCTTCAATATATCACCAATGTAAAATCTTATGAAGACATACCTACTGCCATCTTTAATATATCACCAATGTAAAATATTATGAAGACATACCTACTGTCATCTTTAATATATCACCAATGTAAAATATTGTGAAGACATACCTACTGACATCTTTAATATATCGCCAATGTAAAATATTATGAAGACATACCTACTGTCATCTTTAATATATCACCAATGTAAAATATTATGAAGACATACCTATTGTCCACACAGCCGCGACCTGCAGTGCAAAGAGTGCTGACACCGACAGAAAACTGTAGCGAATCAACGTGGATAACGACACACCGGTCTCGGGAAGAACTATCTCCGCCACAGACGATAAACTTGGTTTTTCGCCCAATAAACCAAAGTCATTAGGGTCCTCCTTATCGTCATCCAGCACTTTCTCCGACCACCTGGAATAATGAAAGCATTCGCCGTTGTTAACTGTGCTTGTCTATTCTGTGTACCCATGAGCGTGTGTATGGGTTGTTTGTGGCTGTGCTTGTCTATTCTGTGTACCCATGAGCGTGTGCATGTGTTGATTGTGGCTGTGCTTGTCTATTCTGTGTATAATTCTGACTGAACGTCCATACCTCCGTTGTAAGAGTGGTCGCCTGGCCCATTGCTTCTGACTGAGAAGAGGCACAGACACCTTACGGCTACTCCACGGTAGGTACTCGTTTTCGATATCATCACCAAAGAAGGTGCCTGGGGTCATGGTGGTGGGGCTGTTGAGTGGCGATGGGACGCTGCTGGTGAAGTCATGGTCTGCAGAGGGTATGACCAATGGCGTGCATTAGTGCAGAAGGCGAAGGACCCGAACAGTCACAACCACGGTAACAAGTGAGTGGAGTGGTTTAACACACTAGGTAGATGAATGCAATATTCTACAAGCCTCCGAGTAGTTTTCCCGGTGACTCATTGGTAGGTGTACATATGCCTATCACTAGGTGGTTGTTTGCCTTTTGGCTCAACAGGTGAATAGTCGTGGTATATATTCAAACATCCCCTGTCAGCGATCGAGGTTGAAACATAATCCACCGCAGGAGACTCAATTCTTAAACCCCAAATGAACGTCTGTGCTGTTTGACCCATTGACTAAGCGCCCAGTGAGTGTTTTAAAACCCTAAAACCCACTCCACAGCTTGTGTGCATTCTATTTATATAATTACCGTGCCTTCTATTTACATGACTCACCGTTGAGTGGTTCGTTGTGGTCCCTTGCAGCGTAGGACGATGTGGTCTGCCGCAGCTTTTTGAGTGTGCGCCTCGACCGCACCTGACGTGAATGCCCACCAAAGCTAGCGTCCATGGCATACTCATTGGCATGGTTGACATGCTCAGTTGTACGCACAACGGTCTCCTGCGCATGCCCACGCCTCTCATCGTGGCTTTGGAGATAGTTATGTTTGTCCTCGTTGCTGAAGCTCACATGCCTTTCTATACCCTGAGCCTTGTCTACTACTGTGCCGACCAATTCCCCTGGATCTGTCACACTCTGTCCATTCGCAGTCTCAGTCAACGGCGTTTGGTCAATGGTCCCCACACAAGACTGCTTATCGAGGTCGATAGAGAACATACTCTCTGCGATGTACGAAAGAGATGGAAAACAGTTATACAAATATACGATAGAAAAAATATGAACACACACATGGACGCACACACACACACATCTATATAT